CACACCACTCTCACGCCGCTGAGTCGGCCGGTTGCGGTGTCCCTGGCTGACCCCTCTGGGGGGCCTGTCCTGTCTCGCTTCTCCACTGTCCTCCCGTGTCCGGCGGCCCCCTCTGGCACCCTGACTGGTCTTTACCTCCCCTCGTTCTCGACGAACTTGGTGAGTGGTGCTGACCTCCAGGATGCGGGTGTCCACCAGTTCACCCCTGCTCGTTAGCGGGTGACCCACTGCACGGAGGCGGATACAGGTCGCCACCTGGCTACGTTTACACGTCGGCCAGGGTCGAGCCTGTACACTCTGACCACTGCTTCTCCTCCAGGTGCTGAGTCTGGTAGGGTCACTTCGTCTGGTCAGGTGTTTGCTGCAGCGTCCAGGTCTGGTCCTGAGTCTGCCCCCTGCTCGTGCCGTCGTCTGTCTCACGAGACCCTCCTCTGGCACCACCGCCTTGGCCACCCCTCTCTGCTTCGGCTCAGAGGCATGGCCTCGCGAGTCCTTGTGTCTGGTCTTCCCCGGTCTCTCCCTCCCCTCCCTCCGGGCCCTGGCCCCACCTGTGTCCCCTGTGTCGAGGGGCGCCAGCGTGCTGCCCCTCACTCCTCCCAGTTTCCTCCGACAGAGGCCCCGTTGCAGACGCTTCACATGGATGTGTGGGGCCCAGCCCGCGTCCGTGGACAGGGTGAGGAGCGCTACTTCCTGCTGGTGGTTGACGACTACTCGCGTTACACCACAGTCTTCCCCTTGCGCAGCAAGGGTGAGGTCACTGCGGTGTTGATCGACTGGATCCGCGCAGCTCGTCTCCAGCTTCGGAGGAGCTTTGGCTCTGACTTCCCTGTTTTGCGTCTGCACTCGGACAGAGGCGGAGAGTTCTCCTCTGGCCTCCTGAGTGCCTACTGTCGTGCGCGAGGCATCCGTCAGACCTTCACGCTTCCGGACTCACCGCAGCAGAATGGGATTGCTGAGCGCCGCATTGGCATGGTCATGGACGTAGCTCGTACGTCCATGATGCATGCGGCTGCTCCCCATTTTCTGTGGCCGTTTGCGGTCAGGTACGCTGCGCACCAGATCAACCTCCACCCCAGGGTCTCTCGACCGGAGACCTCCCCAGCCCTGCTGTGGACTGGGAAGGTTGGCGATGCGTCCGCGTTCCGAGTCTGGGGATCTCGGGCGTTTGTTCGCGACCTGTCTGCGGACAAGCTGTCCCCTCGTGCTTCTCCCTGCGTCTTCCTGGGGTTCCCCCCCGACGCCCCTGGGTGGCAGTTTTACCACCCCACCTCTCGACGTGTTCTGTCCTCCCAGGACGTCACGTTCGACGAGTCGGTACCCTACTACCGCCTCTTCCCCTACCGCACTCCGTCCCTCCCCCCACCCCCGCTCTTCTTGGTACCAGGTCCCCCCCCGGTAGTCCCCCTCCCCCCTCAGGGTCCTGCCCCCTCAGGTGTGTCCCAGGTAGACGCGGTCGAGCCTGTCGAGGTCACTGGTGACTCTGGTGCTGCTGCGGGAGCTGAGCCTGGGGGTGCGGAGCCTGGGGGTGCGGAGTCTGGGGGTGCTGAGCCTGGGGGTGCTGAGCCTGGAGGTGCCGAGCCAGGGGGTGCTGAGCCTGGGGGTGCTGCGCCTGGGGGTGCTGAGCCTGGGGGTGCTGAGCCTGGGGGTGCTGAGCCTGGGGGTGCTGTGCCTGGGGGTGCTTCGTCTCGCCAGGAGCCACTCTCCCCACAGGAGCTGCGTGAGTGGTTTGCCAGGCGCTGGAGGCGTGCTGCTGGTGCTGGTGGTTCTTCGGCTACAGAGGGTACTGCTGCCGCGCGTCCCGGCGGTGCTCGTACTGTGGGTGCTGGAGCTGCTGGGTCTGAGGGTTCTCCTGGAGCTGGTGCTGCTGAGGGTGTTGGCGCTGTGCCTGCCGCTGGCGGTCCGACTGACAGTGCTCCTGGTGCTGCTGCTGGAGGTTCTGGTGCTGCTGGAGGTGCTACTGTAGTGGGTGCTCCTGCTGAGGGTACTGGTGCTGTTCCTGCTGTTTCTGGCGTCGCCGCGCGGCCCCGACCGTACTTCGTTCCGCTCCTGCAGCAGGTTCTTGGTCTTACACCTCCTCCTCCTCCCTTAGAGGGTCCGCAGCCTGTCCGGTCACAGCCACAGCTACAGCCTGCCTCCCCTTTGCCTGCTCCTTCTCCCTACGCTGGTCCGACTGGAGGTCTTACTGAGCGTCGTGAGCCTGCGTCTCGTCCTGTGTCGCCTGTTCGTACTGAGCGCGCTAGTGGTCGCGGCTCGCGTCAGCGTCCTCCTCCTGTCCCTGGCACGCACCGGATGTCACTGCGTCCGTCCACTGCTCCTCTGCGTGCCCCTTTGCCTTCTCCTCCTGCTTCCTCTCTTCCTGCTCTTGCCGACCCGGAGTCGGACGCTCTTCGTGCTGCCAGTCCTACTGTCACGCGTCTCCTGGCTACTGCTGTCGCTGACCCCTCCTTCGAGTCGTCTGCTGCGTCTGCCCTTGTCACTGAGCTTGTCGACTTTGCTGCGCGCTGTCGTCTAGACTACGCTGCTCGTCTTGTCACTGAGTCTGAGTCCGCCAGTCCTCCGTCCGTCGGGGGTGAGTGTGCCCTTGGCACGGACGTCCTTGAGGACAGGCAGGAGGAGTTCCAGTGTCTGGCCGCCGCTTCACCTCGTCTCGCGTCTGTACTGCTAGCCCCTGAGGGAGACCCGGATGCACCAGACATCCCGACTCCGCGCTCTTACGCGGAGGCGATAGAGGGTCCCTACTCCTCTCAGTGGCAGGCAGCTATGGATGCAGAGATGGCTTCCTGGAAGTCCACAGGCACCTACGTTGACGCTGTTCCCCCTCCTGGGGCGAACATCGTCAGTGGCATGTGGATTTTCAGGGTGAAGCGGCCGCCGGGTTCTCCGCCTGTCTTCAAGGCGCGTTACGTGGCTCGTGGCTTCAGTCAGCGGCAGGGGGTTGACTACTTTCAGACCTTCTCCCCCACCCCGAAGATGACCACTCTTCGGGTTGTGCTACACGTTGCTGCTCACCGTGACTACGAGCTGCACTCTCTCGACTTCAGCACAGCTTTCTTGCAGGGCAGCCTGCACGAGGAGATCTGGCTGCGTCGCCCACCTGGCTTCACTGGGTCCTTCCCTCCTGGTACCCAGTGGAGTCTCCGGCGTCCAGTCTACGGTCTCCGCCAGGCGCCACGTGAGTGGCACGACACACTGAGGACTACGCTCGCGGCACTTGGGTTTGCTCCTTCCACTGCCGACCCGTCGCTGTTTCTGCGCACCGACACCTCTCTGCCGCCGTTCTACATCCTCGTGTACGTCGACGACTTGGTCTTTGCCACAGCTGACACTGCTGGACTCGCCTACGTGAAGTCCGAGCTGCAGAAGAGACACACGTGCACTGACCTGGGTGAACTGCGCAGCTACCTTGGCTTGCAGATCACCCGGGACAGAGCACGCCGCACCATTACCCTGACTCAGTCACACATGGTGCAGCAGGTCCTTCAGCGCTTCAGCTTCACGTACTCCTCGCCTCAGGCCACTCCTCTGCCTACTCCCCACTCGCTCTCAGCTCTGCCTTCGGATGAGTCCGTAGAGTCGAGTGGCCCGTTCCAAAAATTTTATCTGGAAAAATCGTTAACTCAAAATAAGTCGCTACTATGGCATTCTGTTTCCTGGGCCTTGAATTTGGACTGGGTTTTGGGTGCCCTTTCCCACCTGGAAACCCGCTGCTTTCTAAAAAATGAACCAAATTTTATTTAGACTTAAAAGCCCAGTCAAAACAGTTCTGAGCGAATGAGGGGAATCACCCGTCGAATATATCTCACCGCGTTCAGGTCGTCGCCCGGGGGAGCTCGCTGCCCGCGGGCAAAAAAAATAGACCCCATTCGGGAATGCATCCGGTCAGGGAGGCATCAACCCTAAACACGGGGAGGCATGGATTTAGGGCGGGTCCAACTCATCACAGCTCAGGTCAGTTTGGGGAACAGTAACCTGTCAGAATGTTATTTGTCTAGCCTGCAGTGGGGTGCTCAATACTGAGTACAACCCCTTAGGGTTTTCTATTTGTGTGTCCTGCTGCTTGCTAGTCCATCATTCCTTCCTTCCAATTCTCCTTCCCAAACCCTAAGTCCTAGTTCTAAAGCACCTTGCCTACCTCCTAGTGTGGGCCTAGGCTACTAAGCCTAGGCCCCACCTCCTACTATTCTAACATGTTATCAGAGCCCGTTCTCCCTTGGCCTGTGGGCCCCTATGCTTCCGCTGCAGTCCTTCTTCCTGCCGTGCGCTCGGGGCGCGCGGCGGTTTTCCCGTCTGTCGAAGCGCCCTCGGGGGGGCCTGCGCGCTGCCCTCCCCGCTGCTCGTCGCGACGCCCGTGCGGGACCCGCGCGGCGTCGCCCTGCTCGTCGCGACGTCCGTGCGGGACCCGCGGGGCGTCGCCCCTGCTCGTCGCGACGTCCGTGCGGGACCCGCGCGGCGCCGCCCTACTTGTCGCGACGTCCGTGCGGGACCCGAGGGGCGTCGCCCCTGCTCGTCGCGGCGTCCGTGCAGGACCCGCGGGGCGCCGTCAGAGCCAGCAGCAACCGCCGCCAGAGCCTACAGCAGCGGCCGCCACCACCCAGCAGCAGCAGCCGCCGCCAGGCCTGCAGCAGCTGCCGCCACCGCGCCTGCAGCAGCAGCTGCCGCCGCTCTGCAGCAGCAGCCGCCGCTCTACCAGCAGCAGCAGCCGCCGCTGCTCTGCAGCAGCAGCCGCCGCCGCCCAGCAGCAGCAGCTGCCGCCAGAGCCTGCAGCAGCAGCCCCTGGAGCCGCCACTGCAGCAGCAGCCCCAGGAGCAGCCGCCCCAACGGCAGCAGCCCCTGCAACGGCCACCCCTGCAGCAGCAGCCCCTGGAGCCGCCACTGCAGCAGCAGCCCATGGAGCAGCCGCCCCAGCAGCAGCCGCCCCAGCAGCAGCAGCCCCTGGAGCCGCCACTGCAGCAGCAGCCCCAGGTGCAGCCGCCCCAGCAGACGCCGCCCCTGGACCCGGTATGCCCTGTGCTGCCTGCTGCCTGTGCTGCCCGTGCCTGTGCTGCCCGTGCCTGTGCTGCCTGTGCCTGTTGCTGCCCGTGCCTGTGCTGCCCTGTGCTGCCTGTGCCTGTTGCTGCCTGTGCCTGTTGCTGCCCGTGCCTGTGCTGCCCTGTGCTGCCCGTGCCTGTGCTGCCCGTGCTTGTGCTGCCTGTGCCTGTGCTGCCCGTGCCTGTGCTGCCCGTGCCTGTGCTGCCCGTGCCTGTGCTGCCCGTGCCTGCTGCTGCCCGTGCCTGTGCTGCCCTGTGCTGCCTGTGCCTGTGCTGCCCGTGCCTGTGCTGCCCGTGCCTGTGCTGCCCGTGCCTGTGCTGCCCGTGCCTGCTGCTGCCCGTGCCTGTGCTGCCCTGTGCTGCCTGTGCCTGTGCTGCCCGTGCCTGTGCTGCCCTGTGCCTGTGCTGCCCGTGCCTGTGCTGCCCGTGCCTGTGCTGCCCGTGCCTGCTGCTGCCCGTGCCTGTGCTGCCTGTGCCTGTGCTGCCCGTGCCTGTGCTGCCCGTGCCTGTGCTGCCCGTGCCTGTGCTGCCCGTGCCTGCTGCTGCCCGTGCCTGTGCTGCCCTGTGCTGCCTGTGCCTGTGCTGCCCGTGCCTGTGCTGCCCGTGCCTGTGCTGCCCGTGCCTGTGCTGCCCGTGCCTGCTGCTGCCCGTGCCTGTGCTGCCCTGTGCTGCCTGTGCCTGTGCTGCCCGTGCCTGTGCTGCCCTGTGCCTGTGCTGCCCGTGCCTGTGCTGCCTGTGCCTGTTGCTGCCCGTGCCTGTGCTGCCCTGTGCTGCCTGTGCCTGTTGCTGCCTGTGCCTGTGCTCCCCGTGCCTGTGCTGCCCGTGCCTGTGCTGCCCGTGCCTGTGCTGCCTGTGCCTGTTGCTGCCCGTGCCTGTGCTGCCCTGTGCTGCCCGTGCCTGTGCTGCCCTGTGCTACATGTGCCTGGTGCTGCTCGTGCCTCGTCCTTGCGCCCTCGTGCGCTCTGCTACTGTCTGCGCCCTCGTGCGCACTGTTTCTGCTCTCCCCCCCCCCCCCGTTTGCGGGTATGGGGGTGGCTGGTGTGCATTCCTCCCTTTGCTCCTCCTCCTCCTTCGTCTCCCACTGCTGCAGCTGTCGCTGAGGGGGGTGGTTGTGTGGGAGACTGGGGTTTAGGGTTTAAGGGGCGTGCGTGGGAGTGGAGCTAGCGGTGTAGCAGCGGGTGTGTGTCAGGGGGGTGGGACTGTTTGGGGAAGCTGCATGGAAGTTGCCGTACTGTAGTCCGCAGCACCTGTAGTCCGGGGCGCTGTCCCGGTAGCCCAGTGAGCTAGACTTCTACGCCAGCCGCCTGTGGGTCCGTTGCCCGTCCGCCGCTATTTGAGCCGCGGGGCCTGTTACTCCTGTAGTCCGGGCGCTGTCCGGTAGCCGCTGTGCCAGTCTGCCTCCTGTTGCCCGTGTGTCTGCAGCTTCAGCCGTCGCCTCCTATCTCCTCTCCCCTCACTCTCTCACCTCCTCCTCACTTGCCCGTTGTGACTACCACCAGCTTTGCTCATAATTCTTAACTTTAAACTATTGTTTCTTTAACTTGTGCTCAGAATGTGTGGTGACATTGTGATCCACCCTGAGCTTGTACTGCTTTGCCTGCTCTGCTGATTACACCCCACTTTGGCTATGGGGGTGTGTCAGAATGTTATTTGTCTAGCCTGCAGTGGGGTGCTCAATACTGAGTACAACCCCTTAGGGTTTTCTATTTGTGTGTCCTGCTGCTTGCTAGTCCATCATTCCTTCCTTCCAATTCTCCTTCCCAAACCCTAAGTCCTAGTTCTAAAGCACCTTGCCTACCTCCTAGTGTGGGCCTAGGCTACTAAGCCTAGGCCCCACCTCCTACTATTCTAACATAACCCTTTTTTATAGGGTAACCGCATCAAGATTCGAAAACAGTCTGGATGACGTGCTCGATGTACGATCTTGCAAAACCAGTCGCATTTCAGATCACGATGTGCATTCTAAATTCAAACGATAAAATTGCAAACTGGACCGCGGTCCCAAATCAAACCCTCGCTGGCTCACTTGCTGGTAACAAGCTTTACCTTCGTCAAGCGAATGAGTTGTAGATCGCTTATGCAGATTTGGTTGCCCAACATTTCTGAAATTTCCCACACACCAATTTTCCGCGATGTCGATTCCCACATTTTTTTTCCCCGAAACCCTAGTTACCCAGTCGACAAGTTTAGCGTTCGCGAATCAAATGTGTTCGTCCAAAATCTGAGCGCATGGGCGGGATGCTGTGTCCGCGTAGGCCTGGCAGTTCAAACGGGCGGGAACTGGAGTCCGCGTAGGCCCTCAGGACATGGCACGTGCCTGACTTCGGATCCCCTGCTTGAAACTCGGATAGTTGGCAGTTCGTTACGGAAGTTGCATACCGCCAAATTGATATGAGCTGGACCCGCCCTTAGGGTTGATGCCTCCCTCGGATGGCATGCCATCCGATAGGGTTTTAGTTTTTTTCTGCCCGGGGCAGCAGGTCGTCAGGTCGTCAAAGGTTGTCAGGCCTGACGCCGCGTCGTGGTCAACCAATCACAACTCTCCGAAACGACGGACTGCTGGCGGTCACTCTGAGTGAGGTGCAACTTCGCGCTCACAGCAAGTTCCCCCAAAACGAACCGCGCTCAACAACAGTGCACAGATATTTGTGAAGCACGTGTTTGGGGTTGCTTCACGAAAGCTTGTCATGAACGATCTTGAAGTCGACTGGGTTAGATGCACCTGATTGGGTCTGATAATTCGCTTAAAGTCGTTTTAATGTGTATCCACACTCGCATGGCACGTGGATTGAGTGTGGTCAGTTGCAAAACTGCCACGCTGGACCCAAATATCTGCACTTTTGGGCCTCTTTGGGCTACTTCGCTTGGGGGAACTTGCTGTGAACGCGATCTCTCTCCCAGTACAAAGCAGCGGCGACTTCAGGCATGGACTCATCTTTTCAAAGCCATCTCTCCTGTAGAAACTTCGATCTTCACTATCCTCAAACAGCTGCCGCCACTCTGCAGAGCAGTCACCGTGACGAGGGGGTCACAGCGGCAGCCCGCCCCGAAAGACCCAGCGTGGTGTGTTGACGTGTCACCCATGACCGTCCATCATGCGTCGGCGCTACTCGTAGCGGCCATGGCGGCTCTTCTCCTTTGCCCCGCAGCACTGCCAGCGGCAGCGGACGCGTCCGTCGTGTTCCGCTCTTCCCGCAGCCTCTGTCTGCTCGCCCTTCCGCAATCGTGGTTTTCTGGTGCGCAGCAGGCGGAACGCTCGCTGGTCGAGCAGGCCGAAGGCGGCGCAGGCGTCGTGCAAGGACCCACCGACATGAGTGGCGCAGGCGAAGCACCTGGAGGCAGCGGAGCGACAGACCAAGGGCCCACCGGCGGCGCAGGCGAGGTGGTCGCCAACCATGGACCCCCCGACACCGGCGCTGGCGGTGTTGGCGGCGCCGGCGCCTCCGAAGGTCTCGCTGACGCTGGCGGCGGAGGCAGCGCAGAGACGAACCAAGGGCCCACCGACGCCGGCCAGCCTGATGCTGCCGCGGCGCATGGCGGAAATCGAGCGGAGCCATCGTCGGGAGTGCGCATGCGGGACTTGGTGGTGTGGCAGGCCGCTAAGTTCCAGCTGAAGGCGCGCGAAGCCCAAGGGCACATGGCGGCCGGCAAGGCCGCGGCGGCCGTGGCGCATTCGCGCGCTTCGGCGCTGGAAAATGCGACAGGCGCGGAGGATTGGTCCGGCATGGCGCACAGCTGCGGGGATCAGGTGAGACGACCACTTTGAAAGTGGATCTGAAGTTCAGTTCAGACTCGATGGTTCCAGATCATGCACTGCATTCAATGTGATCCCTCCCGCTGAAGTAGTACTATGTGATCCGTGACGGAGGGGCCCTAACACCGCGTGCGTGGTGTGCGGCGTGGCGTGGTGTGGCAGATGGCGTTGGTGTCGGAGAGCGTGGAGGAGGCAGCGGGGATGATGGAGAGCGGCGGCGAGGACGTGAATCTGCCGCGCATCCACCTCTCCAACGCCGTCACGCTCGCGCTCGACTGCGCCGAGGGCTTCGACCTCTTCGCGCCGGGCAGCTCCAGCGACCCTCGCGTCAAGGCCCTGCAGGTGCGTGCCCCGCCCCTGCTGCTGCTCGCTGCGCACGGCACCACCGCCTGCCGTCGCTTGATCGACTTGCCTCTTTCCATTATTCGTAAGGTACTCATGGTCATGTTGCACGCGGCTGTGCTGGTGTGCGTGCAGGAGGCAGCAATGGACGCTCGGGCGTCGGTGATGGAGGCGCTGGGGCGAGCAGCGGACATGGCGGACATGATCGCAGCAGGCGACAACACTGCTGCTGCCGCCACCGCCGTGCCTTCGCCCTCGCCCACTCGCCGCCGCCTGCTGCAAACCACTGGCGCAGGCACGGGCACTGCCACCTCGGTGGCCGACCCCCACAACTCCATCCCCGACACCAGCACTACTGGCACTCTCGGCAGCACTACTGGCAATCCGGGCATCATGCCCGGCTCTGGCAGCGACACCTCAGCCAACAACACTGCTGGGGTCCCTGGCGTGCCCTTTAACACCACCGGCTGGATGCACCCTGGCGGCCCCAGCCCTCCCCCGCCACCGTCCCCTCCTCCCTCTCCCCCTCCTTCTCCGCCTCCCTCTCCCCCTCCTCCTTCCCCCCCCCCCCCCTCCCCTCCTCCTTCTCCCCCTCCCCCTTCCCCTCCCCCTCCCTCTCCCCCTCCGCCATCCCCTCCCCCTCCCTCCCCTCCCCCTTCCCCGCCCCCATCTCCTCCGCCGCCTCCCCCACCTCCCGCCCCGCGCATCACTCCCACGGTCACCGTGGCACAGGATGGTTCCGGAAACTTCACCACCGTGCAGGTGCGTGTGAGAGAGTATGCGAATGCGTGTGTATGCTTGCAGGAGAGCCGCATTTTCCCTCATCGCGTGCCATTCCTCACTGCGTGTCTTGGCCTCGCCCTTACTGCGTGCCATTCCTCACTCCCCTGGGGCGAGCAGGCGGCGATCAGGGCGTATCCTCCGGGGTTCAGGGGGCGCTTTGTGGTGTTCATCCGGCCGGGCTTTTACCGTGAGAAGGTGGCCATCAACTCCACCTGCAAGAACGTCACGCTGCTGGGGCTTGGCGCTTCCTCCACTGTCATCTCATGGCTCGACAATGCCACAGCCGGCATTGGCACCTTCCAGACCCCCACCGTCGGTAAGCAACGACCCACGCTCCCTCGCTCCTCCTTCCTGCCTCGCTCCTCTCCTCTCCCTGTTGCTGTTTGTGCTTCTCCACTGCTCCCTCCACCTTATTGCTGGAAGTCCTCCCTGTTGCTGTGCTCTCTATTTCCACCTTATCCCCTCTCTTCCTGCCCCCCTCTCCAACTCTTTCTCTCTCTTATTCTCTGTCCCTCCTCAGCTGTGGACGCCAGTGGCTTTGCAGCAATCGGCATTCGCTTTGAGAACACCGCGGGGAAGGCTGGGAACCAGGCAGTGGCGTTCAGGCAGACGGGCGACAACGCGGCCTTCTACGAGTGCGAGTTCCTCGGGTGGCAGGACACGCTGTACGTGCACGGTGGGCGGCAGTACTACCGCAACTGCTACGTGAACGGGACAGTGGATTTCGTCTTTGGCAACGGTGCGGCCGTGCTGGAGAACTGCACGTTTGTCATTCGCTCGCACAGCAATGCGCCGCTCACAGCATCAGGGAGAACCAACTACACGGAGAACACGGGCATCGTGATCCTCAACTCCGTTATCAAGGGTGACCTTGTCAACAAGACGTACCTCGGCCGCCCCTGGAGGCCCTACGCACGTGTGGCTGTCATCAACACCACAATCAGCAACGTGGTACGTTCTCCTCTCCCTCCCTCGCTTCCCCTCTTTGTTCTGCAGTCTCCTTTTCTCCCGTGCCACGACCATTGCACGTCCTCACCCCTCATCGCAACTTCTCACTCGCTGTTTTTGTGCCCTCCCTTCAGCTGAATACAAGTGGGTGGCTGGACTGGGGGGGTGTAGTGTACAATACTTCTACGTTCATCGAGCAGGGCAACAGTGGGCCGGGGTCGGTGGGGCCGCGCATAGCATGGGCAGCGCCGGGCATCGTGACTGACCCTGCCCAGGTCGCCATGTACTACCCCAACAGCTTCCTCGCCCCCTTCTCCACCATCGCCAACCTCATTCCCTTCCCCTGGCTCTAGATTTCCCCTCACCCTGCCACGCCACCACTTCTCCTGTGTTGGAGGTTCTTACGTTCAGTGCCCAAATCATCAGCAAACTTAGGCACCTCCTTTGGATGAGTTATGTTTAGTTTTCATTGGTTGCTTGTAGCTGCACTATGGTAGCCTTGTATGAGGAGGAGCAACGTACCGTTAGCACCTGTGACCATTGTTTTTTAGCGATCGGTCTTGTTTGCTTCTATGTTGGTTATATCAAATGTTTGCATTTCGGCAATACATTGCATACCCCATGTGCTTCATAAACCATTAGTCTGTTGATGTGGCAAGTCACATAAACCAGCCAGCTGCCCTAAAACATTTCCACACGCCATTATTTCCCTGTTTCTTTTCAGACTAACCAACCAGGGTGTTCAAGCCACTTTAGATGACCATCCATGAATCCATGAATGGAGATTTTGTTAAAACGAGAGAACAGGAATGAGTGGATTAGACATATAGGGTGATACAAATGTGGAACCCTGACGGGTGTCAAGACATACATGTTTTTATTTATGTAGGCTGTATGGGGGTTAACACTAGGGGGTACAAAACTTTTCTCGACATTGTTCTTGTCCCCCCTCCTTTCACCTAGTCAACATCATTCCTTCCTAATTTCAGCATGGCATTATGAGCAGTTAGGTCTTTAGGACCGTTTTTTAAGAGGGCTGTCAAAAGGAAGCTAGGCCTTGGCAGACATAGGAGCCATAGCTAGGAAATCACGGCAGTTACGAGAGGGAAGGGAGAAGCGATAGTTGGCCAACAAAAGAGGTGTTTCAGTAGAGGGTTTGAAGTACAAATAGGGAAGAAGCAAAAGGTGCACCACCAGCGGTTGATAATAATAACCACACTTAACTACAGCAAGTAGGATATAACATAAACATAGCTTTGACACACCCCCTTATCCTGCTTGCGGTAGGAATTAGTGCAGTCAACACCCCCTGAAGGGGTGAACAAGGTGCAGCGGTAGACGTCAGAAGGTGTAAGTGAGGGAAACGAGGCGAGAAAGGGAGAGGAGAGGAGAGGAGTATTGAGGGGAAGGTAAGAGAGAGAGGGATGAGGAGAGGAGGTGGGGGGTGGCTGTGGCGAGACGGGACGGAACGGGAGGCCACGACGTCCCCGCTTACGAACCCCCTTTTACAAAGGGGGGGGAAGGAGTGGGGGAAACGGAGAGAAGGTGGGGGGCCATGCATGAATGTACGAACTTCATGCCTGCGATCCCTCGTAATAACCTTCAGCACTCAACTCAACCACCCCCCTTTAACCTCACCCCCTGAATCTGCCATCCTATCAATTCTCACCCTCACCCTCCTTTCACCTTCACATACCCACCACCCTCTTATCACCCCCCCCGCCACCCCCTCATCCCACTGCCCACCATTAGTTCCTCCCATTTCACTACCCGAATCGCACCCCTAGGGCGCGTCGACTTTTGTTGTTTTTGTTTGTTTTTGTTTTTTTTTTTTCTGCTCACAACGAGCCCCGCGCGATGCCTTATGCAGTGCCTTACAGCCCGCACGAACCCCGATCCCCTGCGCCCACGAGTGCCCCGCTGCCCAGCGCTTACGCGCGCCCTGCTGCCATGTGCCCTGCTGCCGCGCGCAGCCCGTACAACCCGCTTCAGGCCCGCACGCAGCCTGTACAGCCCGTGCCAGGCCCATGCGCAACCCGTACAGCCCGCGCGCACCTGCCCTGCCCCACGTGTCAGCCCTGCGCTGCCCGCGAGCGCCTGCCCTGCGCTCCGCCGGCGACCTGCGAGCTGCCCGTGCACTGCCCTGTGCGCGCTCTGCCAAGCCGCAGCTGCTGCCTGCTGCTGCCGCCACTACTGCTGGCTGCTGCCGCTGCTGCTACCGGCCACTGCCACTGCTGCTGCCGGCCGCTGCCACTGCTGCCCTGCTTGCACGCGCTGCTCAGCGCTGCCCTGCCCTGCCTGGCCACCGCCAGCGCTGCCCTGCTACCGCCACTGCTGCTGGCCACTGCCACTGCTGCTGCCGGCCGCTACCACTGCTGCCCTGCCTGCCCGCGCTGCTCAGCGCTGCCTTGCCCTGCCCTGCCTGGCCGCCGCCAACGCTGCCCTGCTACCGCCACTACTGCCGGCCACTGCCACTGCTGCTGCCGGCCGCTGCCACTGCTGCCCTGCCTACACGCGCTGTTCAGCGCTGCCCTGCTCTGCCTGGCTGCCGCCAGCGCTGCCCTGCTGCCGCTACTGCTGCCGGCCACCGCCTCTGCTGCCGCCATTGCTGCTCGTCGCTGCCACTGCCATTGGTGCACCTCCAGCTAGCGCCCTGTCCTGCCTTGCTTGCGCGCCTGCTGCTGCTACTGCCGCTGCCGCCCTTGCTACCACCTGCGCGCACTCCTACAGTTGCTACCGCTATTGCACCTAGCACTGCTGCCACTGCACCTTCCGTTCCAGCTATTGCCGTTGCAGTCGCTACTTCAGCCCTTAAGCCGCTATTGCTGACTGACACTGCCAACCATGGCCACTACCACTGTCCTGCGTTAGTGGCAGCTGAGTGTGCCGGAGTCTCTCTCGCCGCAGCAGCTTCGCGAATGGGCTATCTGGTGGGGCAGCCCTGGTGGCGGAGCTAGCCGTGCTCGTCGGTGGAAGCTGCTTACGCCACAGCAGTGTCGTGAGTGGGCGGTCCGGTGGGGCAGCCCCGCTGGAGGAGCCTGGGGTGCTACTACTGGAGGTACCTGTGAGTCTACTCCTGCTAGTAGTCCTGGGTAAACGCAGAGGTTCTAGGGGTGGACAGCAGTGGCAGCAGCGTCCGTCGGAGACTCTCTCACCGCAGCAGCTTTTTGAGTGGGCTGTCCAGTGGGGCAGCCCCGGTGGCGGAGCTTGGGGTACTAGTGCTGGGGGTGGAGAGGCACCTCGTGGTGTAGAGGCTACTAGTCTAGGTGCTTGTGACTCAGCTAGCACAGGTGCAGAGTCTGAGGAGGCCTTACACACTTTTCTACTCGACTCAGGTGCGTCTCGCTGCTTCTTCCGCGACTGCACCATAGTCACACCGCTCACAGCCCCTGTCCCTGTCACTCTGGCCGACCCCTCTTGTGGCTCACTTGTTGCACTCCATTGTTCTCCCGTGTCCCTCAGCCCCCTCCGGTTCCCTCACAGGTTTCCACCCCGCCTCATTCACTAGGAACTTAGTGGCTACAGATGTTCTTCAAGACAAGTTTGTCACTGTTACCCAGCCTGGGGGAGAGCTCGTGACGATCTGTACGGACTCACGCACAAGTGAGCACCTCGCCACGTTCACTCGGAGGCCCGGGTCTGGTCTGTACACACTGACCACTGAGTCCGCACAGGTGGCTCAGTCAGGTCAGGTAGCTGCGTTGCTTGAGGAAGCTGCGCCTTGTTTGTGTCGTCTCCTCACGCACCAGAATCTCCTCTGGCACCACCGTCTTGGTCACCCCTCCTTGCCACGCCTACAGGCATGCACTCCCATTTCCTTGTGTCTGGCCTCCCCAGGTCCCTGCCCCTGCTCCTTAGGTCGTTTGCGCCGCCATGCCTTCCCTGCATCGAGGGGCAGCAGCGCGCCGCCCCTCACTCCTCCTCGTTTCCTCCGACCACACCTCCTCTGCAGACCCTCCACATGGACGTGTTGGGTCCAGCCCGCGTCACTAGACATGGCGGAGAGCGCTAATTTTTGTTGGTTGTTGACGAGTACATGTGCTACACCACCGTCTTCCCATTGTAGAGCAAGGTGGATGTCCGCCGTGTGTTGATCGGCTGGATCTGTGTTGTCCGTCGCCAGCTCAGCGCTCGGTTCCGGTAGGACCTCCCGGTCTTGCGGCTCCACTCTGACCGAGGTGGTGAGTTTTGCTCCCACCTCCTCGAGGACTTCTGTGGTGCTGAGGGCATCCGCCAGTCGTTCACGCTTCCGGCCTCTCCGCGGCAGAATAGGATTGCAGAGCGTCGCATTGGCTTGGTCATGGAGGTTGCTCGCACCTCCATGATCCATGCGGCTGCTCCCCATTTTCTGTGGCCGTTTGCAGTCCAATACTCCGCTGAGCAACTCAGACCTAGCAAGGCTGCTGGTCGACTGCCAGCGCAGCACGGTCGACCGCATGCCAGCATGACTTGGTCGACCGCACTCCAGCAGAGCAGAGTCGCACCTTGCCAATGCTGGAGGTTGACAGCGTGCCAACGCTGCAGGTTGACGGCGTGCTAGCATTGCTCCCGCAGAACAGCAGCGCACCTAATTCGGAGGTGCTCGCATATGATTGGTGGATGTGCCTCGTCACCTGCACAGCTCACACACCACATCGTCCCCATGCTGACCACCGCATCTGGTCAGCCACGTCGACCTCGGGATACCACCAACCAGGTCGGTCTCGCCAAAACCGCCTGGGCGACCGTCGTACTCCTCCGCAGAACCTTGTCACCCAGGTAACCTAGTCGACCGGGCAACCACGTCGACCAGCTGCTCCTGTATGTGCCCACTGTCCTCCCAAGTCGACGACCACCTCCGGTCGACCTTACCAGGTCGACCACACCCCTGGTCGACCAGCTCCAGGTCGACATCACTCTTGATCAACCAACCACCAGGTCGGCTAGCAGTCTTGTGAGCCAACCACCCAAGTCGGCTGCCCCAAGTTGGCGTCACCAAGTCGACGCCCTCCGCAGGTCAACTTCCCAGGTTGACCTACAAGAAGTCGGCGCCATCCTAAAGTCGCCCCCCATGCAGTGGCACAAGTGCAGGTCGACCTCCTCGTCGACTAGCTCGCTCACTGCTGCAGGTCGGCTGCACCCCTACACCCGACCATGAAGTCAGCTCCGCCCAAGCGAGGACGGGGCCAACACACAACTCCCTCTACTGACGGGTCACGCCGCTTGCCCGACCCAACCGACCCCCACCGAGTGATTGTGCCGGTTCACGCAATTGACCACAACCAGCTGAATAAGGAGGGTACCACGGTAGACAGCCCCATACTGATTAGTGGGAAAATAGGGACAGACTTAGTTGAAATATTCATAGACGAGG